TACGCTATGGTGAACACGGCAGGGGACGCCAGGCATGATGGACACGTTATAGTGAACACGGCAGGGGACGCCAGGCATGATGGGCACGCTATAGTGAACACGGCGGGGGACGCCAGGCATGATGGGCACGCTATAGTGAACACGGCGGGGGACGCCAGGCATGATGGGCACGCTATAGTGAACACGGCAGGGCACACTATAGTGAACACGGCGGGGGACGCCAGGCATGATGGGCACGCTATAGTGAACACGGCGGGGGACGCCAGGCACAATATAGTGAACACGGCAGGGCACACTATAGTGAACACTGCGGGGGACGCCAGGCATGATGGGCACGCTATAGTGAACACGGCGGTGGACGCCAGGCATGATGGGCACACTGTAGTGAACACGGCAGGGGACGCCAGGGGACGCCAGGCATGATGGGCACGCTATAGTGAACGCGGCGGGGGACGCCATGCACACTATAGTGAACACGGCAGGGGACGCCAGGCATGATGGACACACTATAGTGAACACGACGGGGGATCCAGGCACACTATAGTGAACACGACGGGGGACGCCAGGCACACTATAGTGAACACGGCAGGGGACGCCAGGCATGATGGACACACTATAGTGAACACGACGGGGGACGCCAGGCACACTATAGTGAACACGGCAGGGGACGCCAGGCATGATGGACACACTATAGTGAACACTTCAGGGGACGCCAGGCATGATGGACACACTATAGTGAACACGGCAGGGGACGCCAGGCACACTATTGTGAACACGGCGGGGGACGCCAGGCATGATGGACACACTATAGTGAACACGTCGGGGGACGCCAAGCATGAAGGGCACGCTATAGTGAACACGGCAGGGGACGCCAGGCATGATGGGCACACTATAGTGAACACGGCGGGGTACACTATGCATGATGGGCACGCTATAGTGAACACGGCAGGGGACGCCAAGCACGCTATAGTGAACACGGCGTGGGACGCCAAGCATGATGGGCACACTATAGTGAACACGGCGGGGGACGCCAGACACACTACAGTGAACACGGCGGGGGACGCCAGGCGTGATGGACACACTATAGTGAACACGGCGGGGGACGCCAGGCATGATGGGCACGCTATAGTGAACACGGCGGGGGACGCCAGGCATGATGGGCACACTATGGTGAACACGGCGGGGGACGCCAGGCATGATGGACACACTATAGTGAACACGGCGGGGGACGCCAGGCATGATGGACAAATAAAGTGAACACGGCAGGGGACGCCAGGCATGATGGGCACACTATAGTGAACACGGCGGGGGACGCCAGGCATGATGGGCACACTATAGTGAACACGGCAGGGGACGCCAGGCATGATGGGCACACTATAGTGAACACGGCAGGGGACGCCAGGCATGATGGGCACACTATAGTGAACACGGCAGGGGACGCCAAGCATGATGGACACACTACAGTGAACACGGCAGAGGACGCCAGGCATGATGGGCACGCTATAGTGAACACGGGTTCGGACGCCAGGCATGATGGGCACGCTATAGTGAACACGGGTTCGGACGCCAGGCATGATGGGCACGCTATAGTGAACACGGCAGGGGACGCCAGGCATGATGGGCACGCTATAGTGAACACGGCAGGGGACGCCAGGCATGATGGGCGCACTATAGTGAACACGGCGGGGGACGCCAGGCATGATGGGCACGCTATAGTGAACACGGCGGGGGACGCCAGGCATGATGGACACACTATAGTGAACACGGCAGGGGACGACAGGCACACTATAGTGAACACGGCAGGGGACGCCAGGCATGATGGACACACTATAGTGAACACGGCGGGGGACGCCAGGCATGATGGGCACACTATAGTGAACACGGCGGTGGACGCCAGGCATGATGGGTACGCCATGGTGAACACGACAGGGGACGCCAGGCATGATGGGCACACTATAGTGAACACGGCAGGGGACGCCAGGCATGATGGGTACGCTATGGTGAACACGGCAGGGGACGCCAGGCATGATGGACACGTTATAGTGAACACGGCAGGGGGCGCCAGGCATGATGGGCACGCTATAGTGAACACGGCGGGGGACGCCAGGCATGAAGGGCACGCTATAGTGAACACGGCGGGGGACGCCAGGCATGATGGGCACGCTATAGTGAACACGGCAGGGCACACTATAGTGAACGCGGCGGGGGACGCCAGGCATGATGGGCACGCTATAGTGAACACGGCGGGGGACGCCAGGCACAATATAGTGAACACGGCAGGGCACACTATAGTGAACACTGCGGGGGACGCCAGGCATGATGGGCACGCTATAGTGAACACGGCGGTGGACGCCAGGCATGATGGGCACACTGTAGTGAACACGGCAGGGGACGCCAGGGGACGCCAGGCATGATGGGCACGCTATAGTGAACGCGGCGGGGGACGCCATGCACACTATAGTGAACACGGCAGGGGACGCCAGGCATGATGGACACACTATAGTGAACACGACGGGGGATCCAGGCACACTATAGTGAACACGACGGGGGACGCCAGGCACACTATAGTGAACACGGCAGGGGACGCCAGGCATGATGGACACACTATAGTGAACACGACGGGGGACGCCAGGCACACTATAGTGAACACGGCAGGGGACGCCAGGCATGATGGACACACTATAGTGAACACTTCAGGGGACGCCAGGCATGATGGACACACTATAGTGAACACGGCAGGGGACGCCAGGCACACTATTGTGAACACGGCGGGGGACGCCAGGCATGATGGACACACTATAGTGAACACGTCGGGGGACGCCAAGCATGAAGGGCACGCTATAGTGAACACGGCAGGGGACGCCAGGCATGATGGGCACACTATAGTGAACACGGCGGGGTACGCCAAGCATGATGGGCACGCTATAGTGAACACGGCAGGGGACGCCAAGCACGCTATAGTGAACACGGCGTGGGACGCCAAGCATGATGGGCACACTATAGTGAACACGGCGGGGGACGCCAGACACACTACAGTGAACACGGCGGGGGACGCCAGGCATGATGGACACACTATAGTGAACACGGCGGGGGACGCCAGGCATGATGGGCACGCTATAGTGAACACGGCGGGGGACGCCAGGCATGATGGGCACACTATGGTGAACACGGCGGGGGACGCCAGGCATGATGGACACACTATAGTGAACACGGCGGGGGACGCCAGGCATGATGGACAAATAAAGTGAACACGGCAGGGGACGCCAGGCATGATGGGCACACTATAGTGAACACGGCGGGGGACGCCAGGCATGATGGGCACACTATAGTGAACACGGCAGGGGACGCCAGGCATGATGGGCACACTATAGTGAACACGGCAGGGGACGCCAGGCATGATGGGCACACTATAGTGAACACGGCAGGGGACGCCAAGCATGATGGACACACTACAGTGAACACGGCAGAGGACGCCAGGCATGATGGGCACGCTATAGTGAACACGGGTTCGGACGCCAGGCATGATGGGCACGCTATAGTGAACACGGGTTCGGACGCCAGGCATGATGGGCACGCTATAGTGAACACGGCAGGGGACGCCAGGCATGATGGGCACGCTATAGTGAACACGGCAGGGGACGCCAGGCATGATGGGCGCACTATAGTGAACACGGCAGGGGACGCCAGGGATGATGGACACACTACAGTGAACACGGCGGGGGACGCCAGGCATGATGGGCACACTATAGTGAACACGGTAGGGGACGCCAGGCATGATGGACACACTATAGTGAACATGGCGGGGGACGCCAGGCATGATGAGCACGCTATAGTGAACACGGCAGGGGACGCCAGGCATGATGGGCACACTATAGTGAACACGGCGGGGGACGCCAAGCATGATGGACACGCTATAGTGAACACGGCGGGGGACGCCAAGCACGCTATAGTGAACACGGCGGGGGACGTCAGGCATGATGGGCACACTATAGTGAACACGGCAGGGGACGCCAGGCATGATGGACAGACTATAGTGAACATGGCGGGGGACGCCAGGCATGATGAGCACGCTATGGTGAACACGGCAGGGGACGCCAGGCATGATGGGCACACTATAGTGAACACGGCGGGGGACGCCAAGCATGATGGACACGCTATAGTGAACACGGCGGGGGACGCCAGGCATGATGGACACGCTATAGTGAACACGGCAGGGGACGCCAAGCACGCTATAGTGAACACGGCAGGGGACGCCAGGCATGATGGGCACACTATAGTGAACATGGCGGGGGACGCCAGGCATGATGAGCACGCTATAGTGAACACGGCAGGGGACGCCAGGCATGATGGGCACACTATAGTGAACACGGCGGGGGACGCCAAGCATGATGGACACACTGTAGTGAACACGGCGGGGGACGCCAGGCATGATGGGCACGCTATAGTGAACACGGCAGGGGACGCCAAGCACGCTATAGTGAACACGGCAGGGGACGCCAGGCATGATGGGCACACTATAGTGAACACGGCAGGGGACGCCAGGCATGATGGACACACTGTAGTGAACACGGCGGGGGACGCCAGGCATGATGGGCACGCTATAGTGAACACGGCAGGGGACGCCAGGCACGCTATAGTGAACACGGCAGGGGACGCCAGGCATGATGGGCACACTATAGTGAACACGGCGGGGGACGCCAGGCATGATGTTTTGACCATGTAACAGAAGGAACACTTGTTTTTATAAATGATCGTTTTTACCTGGGTTTGGACGTGGGACGACTATTTCTGTGCTTTACAATCTGTGTTCTTGGGTGGTGACGTCACGAGTATGTCAGCAGGGACAGCAGAGTTTGTGACAAGACGGTTTCAGGTCAGAGACGCTTTTTTTTAAAAAAAAACTTCCATTTGGATGCAATATCCTGTTTTGTAAGCTATAGGATCAGGCTTGCGACTAAAACGTTCCTTTTAAGTGTGTAAAAACTATAACAGATACTTACGTTTAGGCAAGGCTGCATACTCGTCCGGTATCTGAAACTGTTTAGGATTGTCTGCAACATGAAGGTAGAAGAGGTAAAAACTGGTGTTGGGTACTGGGGTGTTTAGTACAGGGTGGGGAATATCGAGGTGTTGGGTACAGGGTGGGGAATATCGAGGTGTTTGGTACTGGGGTGTTTAGTACAGGGCGGGGAATATCGAGGTGTTGAGTACAGGGTGGGGAATATCGAGGTGTTGGGTACAGGGTGGGGAATATCGAGGTGTTGGGTACAGGGTGGGGAATATCGAGGTGTTGGGTACAGGGTGGGGTATATCGAGGTGTTTAGGACAGGGTGGGGAATATCGAGGTGTTGGGTACAGGATGGGGAATATCGAGGTGTTGGGTACAGGGTGGGGAATATCGAGGTGTTGGGTACAGTGTGGGAAATATCGAGGTGTTGGGTACAGGGTGTTTACAACAGGGTGTGGAATATCGAGGTGTTGAGTACAGGGTGGGGAATATCGAGGTGTTGAGTACAGGGTGGGGATAATCGAGGTGTTGGGTACAGGGTGTGGAATATCGAGGGGTTGAGAACAGGGTGGGGAATATCGAGGTGTTGGGTACAGGGTGTGGAATATCGAGGTGTTGAGTACAGGGTGGGGAATATCGAGGAGTTGGGTACTGTGGTGCTTAGTACAGGGTGGGGAATATCGAGGTGTTGGGTACAGGGTTGGGAATATCGAGGTGTTGGGTACAGGGTGGGGAATATCGAGTTGTTGGGTACAGGATGGGGAATATTGAGGTGTTGAGTACAAGGTGGGGAATATCGAGGTGTTGGGTACAGGATGGGGAATATCGAGGTGTTGGGTACAGGGTGGGGAATATCGAGGTGTTGGGTACAGGGAGGGAAATATCGAGGTGTTGGGTACAGGGTGTTTACAACAGGGTGTGGAATATCGAGGTGTTGAGTACAGGGTGGGGAATATCGAGGTGTTGGGTAAAGGATGGGGAATATCGAGGTGTTGGGTACAGGGTTGGGAATATCGAGGTGTTTGGTACAGGGTGGGGAATATCGAGGTGTTGGGTACAGGGTGGGGAATATCGAGGTGTTGGGTACAGGATGGGGAATATCGAGGTGTTGGGTACAGGATGGGGAATACCGAGGTGTTGGGTACAGGGTGTGGAATATCGAGGTGTTGGGTACAGGATGGGGAATATCGAGGTGTTGGGTACAGGGTGGGGAATATCGAGGTGTTGGGTACAGGATGGGGAATATCGAGGTGTTGGGTACAGGATGGGGAATATCGAGGTGTTGGGTACAGGATGGGCAATATCGAGGTGTTGGGTACAGGGTGTGGAATATCGAGGTGTTGGGTACAGGATGGGGAATATCGAGGTGTTGAGTACAGGATGGGGAATATCGAGGTGTTGGGTACAGGATGGGGAATATCGAGGTGTTGAGTACAGGATGGGGAATATCGAGGTGTTGGGTACAGGGTGGGGAATATCGAGGTGTTGAGTACAGGATGGGGAATATCGAGGTGTTGGGTACAGGATGGGGAATATCGAGGTGTTGGGTACAGGGTGGGGAATATCGAGGTGTTGGGTACAGGATGGGGAATATCGAGGTGTTGGGTACAGGGTGGGGAATATCGAGGTGTTGGGTACAGGGTGGGGAATATCGAGGTGTTGGGTACAGGGTGGGGAATATCGAGGTGTTGGGTACAGGATGGGGAATATCGAGGTGTTGAGTACAGGATGGGGAATATCGAGGTGTTGGGTACAGGGTGGGGAAAATCGAGGTGTTGAGTACAGGATGGGGAATATCGAGGTGTTGGGTACAGGATCGGGAATATCGAGGTGTTGGGTACAGGGTGTGGAATATCGAGGTGTTGGGTACAGGATGGGGAATATCGAGGTGTTGGGTACAGGGTGGGGAATATCGAGGTGTTGGGTACAGGGTGGGGAATATCGAGGTGTTGGGTACAGGGTGGGGAATATCGAGGTGATGGGTACTGTGGTGCTTAGTACAGGGTGGGGAATATCGAGGTGTTGGGTACAGGGTGGGGAATATCGAGGTGTTGGGTACATGATGGGGAATATCGAGGTATTGGGTACAGGATGGGGAATATCGAGGTGTTGGGTACTGTGGTGCTTAGTACAGGGTGTGGAATTTCGAGGTGTTGGGTAAAGGGTGTGGAATATCGAGGTGTTGGGTAAAGGGTGTGGAATATCGAGGTGTTGGGTACTGGGGTGTTTAGTACAGGGTGTGGAATATCGAGGTGTTGGGTACTGGGGTGTTTAGTACAGGGTGTAGGATATTGAGGTGTTGGGTACAGGGTGGGGAATATCGAGGTGTTGGGTACTGTGGTGCTTAGTACAGGGTGGGGAATATCGAGGTGCTGGGTACAGGGTGGGGGATATCGAGGTGTTGGGTACAGGATGGGGAATATCGAGGTGTTGGGTACTGGGGTGTTTAGTACAGGGTGTGGAATATCGAGGTGTTGGATACTGGGGTGTGGAATATCGAGGTGTTGGGTTTTGGGATGTGGGGTAGCTGAAGATTACATTGTAATTGTTAATAGTTAATATAACAGGCACTCCTAAGAATCAGATTAAGTACTATCCAGGGTGGTTAATGTGAAATGAATGGATGGAAATTAAAGACAGGTGATCTTCACTCGCGCATGGGTGACACTCACGTGCAATCAGATCAAGCACCTCCTGCTTTCTCAGCATCCTCATACTGCTTCCTGTCACGTGATGAGGTGACGCGCGATCTGAATCCGGAATGGTCATGGTGACACAACAGGATAGTGGTAGTAGTCACGTGATATTAGAGGAGTTGACGGGATTAGGGGTTTTGTGTCACAGACAGGAGTGAGGAGCGCACTGGATCTGAGATGTCCTACACGGGTGTCATGTTGTCATGTTGTCATGGTGTCGTGATGTCATGTTGTCATGGTGTCGTGGTGTCGTGATGTCATGTTGTCATGTTGTCATGTTGTCGTGATGTCATGTTGTCCTGGTGTCCTGGTGTCGTGGTGTCATGGTGTCGTGATGTCGTGATGTCAAGGTGTCATGTTGTCATGGTGTCGTGATGTCATGTTGTCATGGTGTCGTGGTGTCGTGGTGTCGTGGTGTCATGGTGGCGTGGTGTCCTGGTGTCCTGGTGGCATGGTGTCGTGGTGTCATGGTGTCGTGGTGTCGTGGTGTCATGGTGTCATGATGTCATGGTGTCGTGATGTCCTGGTGTCGTGGTGTCGTGATGTCGTGGTGTCATGTTGTCATGGTGTCGTGGTGCCGTGGTGCCGTGGTGTCGTGGTGTCGTGGTGGCATGGTGTCGTGGTGTCATGGTGTCGTGGTGTCGTGGTGTCATGGTGTCGTGATGTCATGTTGTCATGTTGTCATGGTGTCGTGGTGTCATGGTGTCGTGATGTCTTGGTGTCATGGTGTCGTGGTGTCGTGGTGTCGTGGTGGCATGGTGTCGTGATGTCATGTTGTCGTGGTGTCGTGGTGTCGTGGTGTCGTGATGTCATGTTGTCATGGTGTCGTGGTGTCGTGATGTCATGTTGTCATGGTGTCGTGGTGTCGTGGTGTCGTGGTGTCATGGTGTCGTGATGTCAAGGTGTCATGTTGTCATGGTGTCGTGTTGTCATGGTGTCATGGTGTCGTGGTGTCATGGTGTCATGGTGTCTTGGTGTCTTGGTGTCGTGGTGTCATGGTGTCGTGGTGTCATGGTGTCGTGGTGTCGTGGTGTCGTGGTGTCGTGGTGTCATGGTGTCCTGATGTCATGGTGCCATGGTGTCGTGGCGTCCTGGTGTCGTGGTGACATGGTGTCATGGTGTCATGGTGTCGTGGTGTCATGGTGTCGTGGTGTCCTGGTGGCATGGTGTCGTGGTGCCGTGGTGTCGTGGTGTCATGGTGTCCTGATGTCCTGGTATCCTGGTGTCGTGATGTCGTGGTGTCATGTTGTCATGGTGTCGTGATGTCAAGGTGTCATGTTGTCATGGTGTCGTGATGTTATGTTGTCATGGTGTCGTGGTGTCATGGTGTCGTGATGTCTTGGTGTCGTGGTGTCATGGTGTCGTGGTGTCATGGTGTCGTGGTGTCGTGGTGTCATGGTGTCGTGGTGTCATGTTGTCATGGTGTCGTGATGTCAAGGTGTCATGTTGTCATGGTGTCGTGATGTTATGTTGTCATGGTGTCGTGGTGTCATGGTGTCGTGATGTCTTGGTGTCGTGGTGTCATGGTGTCGTGGTGTCGTGGTGTCGTGGTGTCATGGTGTCATGGTGTCGTGGTGTCGTGGTGTCATGGTGTCGTGGTGTCGTGGTGTCATGGTGTCGTGGTGTCGTGGTGTCGTGGTGTCGTGATGTCGTGCTGTCATGGTGTCCTGATGTCCTGGTGGCATGGTGTCGTGGTGTCCTGGTGTCGTGGTGACATGGTGTCATGGTGTCGTGTCGTCATGGTGTCGTGGTGTCGTGGTGTCCTGGTGTCGTGGTGTCGTGGTGTCGTGGTGTCGTGGTGTCATGGTGTCCTGATGTCCTGGTGTCCTGGTGTCGTTGTGTCGTGGTGTCATGGTGGCGTGGTGTCGTGGTGTCGTGGTGGCGTGGTGTCATGGTGGCGTGGTGTCGTGGTGTCATGGTGTCGTTGTGTCATGGTGTCATGGTGGCGTGGTGTCGTGGTGCCGTGGTGTCTGTATGTCATGCTGTCTGTCCTCTGTGTCGTTGAGTGAAGCTTCAGTCACACAGACAATGTGGCCGCGATCGCCAGTCGGTCGCAAAGGAAATCAGTCGCCAAGAAGTTGCATCGCAGTCGCATTGTCTGTGTGACTGTATCTTTACCAAACTCGCCCTTTTGTCATCGGAAGCGAAACATGATACCTCCATGGCTCTGTCACTACATCCGGGTGTCCTATATACCGCGGACCGGAAGCTGAGCTGTGTCGTGACACAATCTACGTCCTGGTTGAGGGAGTCACGTGAGCGCGAGTATTCAGTGTGGGGGACTATATTCCATCTATCTTGTGTACACACTTGTGTACACACTTGTATACATGTATGAGGTTAGTCCTGCACCATGACCGTGGAATATATTTATTTTATGGTAAAATAATAATCTAGAAATGCATACAAAAGCAAGTCTAGCCAGCTCAAGCTAGCTCTATCTGAAATCAGCATAGGGAATTTTATTTTATTTTTAGAGTCAAGAAGGATATTGTGTAATATAAGATTTCAGAGACAAAATGTTAGTCTAGTATGAGGTGTCTTAAGGTTATTACATGGATGTGACGCACACACAGATTATTACATGGATGTGACGCACACACAGATTATTACATGGATGTGACGCACACACAGATTATTACATGAGGGAGTGTGGTATATAGAGATTATAACATGAATATGGCATATAGAGATTATAACATGAATATGGTATATAGAGATTATAACATGAATGTGGTATATAGAGATTATAACATGAATATGGTATATAGAGATTATAACATGAATGTGGTATATAGAGATTATAACATGAATATGGTATATAGAGATTATAACATGAATATGGTATATAGAGATTATAACATGAATATGGTATATAGAGATTATAACATGAATGTGGTATATAGAGATTATAAAATGAATATGGTATATAGAGATTATAACATGAATATGGTATATAGAGATTATAACATGAATATGGTATATAGAGATTATAACATGAATGTGGTATATAGAGATTATAACATGAATGTGGTATATAGAGATTATAACATGAATATGGTATATAGAGATTATAAAATGAATATGGTATATAGTGATTATAACATGAATATGGTATATAGAGATTATAACATGAATGTGGTATATAGTGATTATAACATGAATATGGTATATAGTGATTATAACATGAGTATGGTATATAGAGATTATAACATGAATATGGTATGTAGAGATTATTTCATGAATATGGTATATAGTGATTATTTCATGAATATGGAACATAGAGATTATTTCATGAAAATGTCCGGCTACACAATAGATATGCACGAAAACCAGTTTGATAGCGACATATTTCCTCATTGCCATATTGTTTATTTGAATTTGGTTTGTACATAAAGCCGATGTGTTCGTCACACCCAGGAACCAGGTTCACAACCAGGAACCAGTTGTCCGTCAGTGGGCGTCGCTATAGGAATATTTGTGGGGACATTTGTTGTTACGAGGCGAGCTTGTTGTTCTATTCACGTCCTGGTCTGGACGTCACACTCACCCCTTCCTCACAACACACACACACACACACACACACACACACACACACACACACACACACACACACACACACGGTTTGCAATGTCTTAAACGGCATTGTTTTCACACTTGTTCAAAAATGTAATGGAAAACAGTTAAGCATAATGCATTTGCAACTTATTGCATTCGTAACTCTGGTAGTGGCTCTAAAAAGGCAAGTATAAGCCAATAATTTATCATTCAATTGTCAACTTTTTTCAAGTTTGAAAATGTCGAGACTCAGCGCTGCCGATCGGAACATCTCCATAGGACGTATCCAAAGAAGGGAATCGCAGTCTTCGGTTTGACGCCACTTCAACGTCCACCACAGCACCATTTGACGCCACTTCAACGTCCACCACAGCACCATTTGACGCCACTTCAACGTCCACCACAGCACCATTTGCCGCCATTGAGACCGAAACACGCAGTTCAGTTTCACTGCAGACCGTCCGAGAACCGGCCGACCAAGAGTTACCTCCCCTGCAGAGGATCGCTACATTCGACTGTTTCACCTACGTCATCGCCATGCCACAGCTATGGAGACTGCAGGACGCATCCCCTGTTTGAGGAGGATATCGGACCAGACTGTCAGGAACCATCTTCGCGAGGCTTGGAGCCTTACAACCTTGGAATTTGAGAAACTGGAGACGAGATGGAAGACAACGTGTTTATCGTCGTCGAAATAAGCGTTTTGCCTCACATTGTCTTCATGAATTCGACAAATTCGGTGGCAGTAGTGTCGTGGTATGGGGGCCATATTCTAAACCATGAGATCTGACTTGGTTGTGGTTCAGGGAAATTTGACAACAAATCGCTACATGAATCAAATACTTCAACCTCACCTTCTTCCAATCATTGACCGCCAGAGGGAACTGGTTCAACAGAACAAAGATCCACCGCACATAGCTCGTGTCACGGTAGACTACCTTCATAATGCCAACATCCTCGTCTTGCCCAGGCCGGTGAGATCTCCAGATCTCAACCCAATCGAAAACCTCTGGGATGAACTTGATTGACGTGTACGTCAACGTCAGAACACGCAACAGAGACTCCCACAACCGGTCAACGCGTTACAGGAAGAATGGCGCAGAATTCCACAGGACAGAATTGCAGTCAGTGCCGAGGAGATGCAGAGCCGTGATTGCTGCCCGGGGCGGTCACACGAGATATTGAGTTCAGCGCAAACTTGTGGTCTTGTGGGACATGACAATGAACAGTTTTCGATGCCTTTATACAACAACAACATGTGACTATAGAGCTCCATATCTATCATATAAAATAAATATGTCGACTTTGTTAGGTACAATAAATCTCCTAAAATCTACCTGTGCGTTTCTTTAATTGCAGAGTGTATAGGCCTGTGTTTTGTCACCAGCCAGCAACTGAAGATGAGGGCGAGCGTGGATTTGTTTGTTTGTTGGATTCATTGCATTAGCATCAATCCACGCACCTTGGACACAGTGACATGCCCCTCTTACATCAAGCGTCTGAACGCAACATGTTATCACGCCCCAAACTGAGAAAAGCTCCTGGTAAAATTACAAATGAACATATTCACAAATATGCAAAACTAGCGCACCTGTTCAACATGACTGAGCAGACTTCACGTCACTCAACAGCAGGACAGGCAGCATCACACCGCTGTAAAGGGGCAACGACAAGGACCCTAACCCTCACCCTCACCCTCACCCTCACCCTCACCCTCACCCTCACCCTAAACCTCACCCTAACCCTAACCCTAACCCTCACCCCGAGGACAGGCAGCATCACACAACAGTAAAGGGCAACGACAAGGACCCTAACCCTAACCCTAACCCTAACCCTAACCCTCACCCTAAACCTAACCCTAAACCTAACCCTCACCCTCACCCTAAACCTCACCCTAAACCTCACCCTAAACCTCACCCTAACCCTAACCCTAAACCTCACCCTCACCCTCACCCTCACCCTTACCCTCACCCTAACCCTAACCCTAACCCTCACCCCGAGGACAGGCAGCATCACACAACAGTAAAGGGCAACGACAAGGACCCTAACCCTAACCCTAACCCTAACCCTCACCCTCACCCTAAACCTAAACCTAAACCTAAACCTAACCCTCACCCTCACCCTCACCCTAAACCTAAACCTAAACCTCACCCTAAACCTAACCCTAACCCTAACCCTAACCCTCACCCCGAGGACAGGCAGCATCACACAACAGTAAAGGGCAACGACAAGGACCCTAACCCTAACCCTAACCCTAACCCTCACCCTCATCCTCACCCTAACCCTAACCCTAACCCTAACCCTAAACCTAACCCTCACCCTAAACCTCACCCTAAACCTCACCCTAACCCTTACCCTAACCCTAACCCTCAACCTCACCCTAAACCTAACCCTAAACCTCACCCTCACCCTCACCCTAAACCTAACCCTAAACCTAAACCTCACCCTCACCCTAAACCTCACCCTAAACCTCACCCTAACCCTCACCCTCACCCTAACCCTAAACCTAACCCTCACCCTCACCCTAACCCTAACCCTAACCCTCACCCTCACCCTAACCCTAACCCTAACCCTAACCCTCACCCTAACCCTAACCCTCACCCTAACCCTAACCCTAACACACCCAACTCCACAGGAATCACCCTCACTTCAATGGGAGGAAAGATACTTGATAGAATTCTGATTGACAAATTAGAAAGTTATTTAAATAACACCGTGCTGCAGTGACACCGTTATTTCCTCCTACGCAGAAAGCGAACGTCTTTACAGCACACCTGGACAACGAAAACATTTCCTATCGAATCTGGCATAATTAAACTGTTAGAACTTGTAATATACTCAGCAATAAAAGTTCCTGTCACACCAATATTTTAGGGTATTTTTCAAATAAGTAAAGTTTGGTTTTCAGTATTGTACATGTATGGAATCAAGTCACAAAAACGCAACTGCTACAGAAAATCATGCATTCCATGCAAAAGTTGACCTTTATGCAAGCCCAATGCATTTCACTACCCAAGAATGGGTATAAAAACATGTGCGTTAACGGGATTCCATATGCATTGTTTAGTATCGTGCTGACAACAACAACTCAGAAAAACAACAAAATTACGCAATTATTCCACATTACGAAATGCCACGCCTGTCCGAAAATAAGCGTCTGCTTTGTATGCTTGAAGCAGGATCGAGTCAAGGTGATGTTGCAAGACAATTTAACGTCCACAGAAACACCATTTGGTGTTTATGGCAACGTTGGCAACAGACGAATGCAATAAGAGACCATCCTCGGGGTGGCAGGCCACGCGTAAGCAATAATCGACAAGACAACTGGATTCGAACAACACACCTACGAAATCGATTCCAGCCAGCAACAGTGACTGCAAGAAGCATCCCTGGCCTGCGACGAATATCTTCACAAACCGTACGTTGTCGCCTCAGATGTGCAGGGGCTGTCGCCAGAAGACCCGCCAGACGTCCCATTTTGACAGGAAACCACCCTCAAGCACGTCTACAGTGGTGCAGACAGCGTCTACGCTTGACGGCCATGCAGTGGGGACAAGTTCTATTCACTGACGAGTCTCGTTTTCACCTCAGTCACAGCGATGGACGTATTCGAGTGTACCGACGTCGAGGTGAACGTTACGTCAATCGTTGTGTCATGGAAGAAGATCGGTTCGGGGGCGGCAGCGTTATGGTATGGGGTGGGATTACAGCAAGACAGAGGACCCGTTTGATAGTGGTAGAGAGAAATCTCAATGGACAGCGCTACCGCGACGAGATCATAGGCCCTGTTGTTCTACCGTTTTTGCGTCGTCATGGCCCAGGCATTACCTTTCAACATGACAACGCTTGATCTCATATTGCTCGACTTGTTCACGATTCCCTTCAACAAAACAACGTGAATGTCATCCCCTGGCCGGCTCGCTCACCTGATCTCTCACCAATCGAGCACATGTGGGATGAGATGGATCGGCGCAATCGACGTCAACCACGTGTTCCACAGACACTCCAGGAACTTCGAAACATGATCCAGCAGATATGGACAGATATCCAACAGGACTTTGTGCGACGCCTGGTCCATTCCATTAGACGAAGATGTGTTGCGTGCATCGCAACCAGAGGTGGACACACACGCTATTGAATTGTTAATTGACATTTTGGCATGTTCATGTTGTTTTTTTATGAAATCACGCATTTTCTGCGTCAGCGTGACTCATCAGTAAACATGAATCATTAGTAAGTATGACTGATCGAAATATTCACCTGTCATGGTTTCCTAGATGTTTTGCCTGTGGTCTGTTGTCTGATCCGTGATCTGTGATCTGTGATCCGTGCTCTGTGCTCTGTGATCTGTGGTCCGTGTTCTGTCGCAGACTGTGTTGGCGATGGATATTAGCGACTCTCCCCTCAAGGAAGCGCTGAAATAAACAATCACAATTCAGCTGGAGCCCATTATTGTGTCACGACTTGTCAGACTACCTGTTGTCGAGTACTATCGACTGACACAACAGTAAGGAAGTGAAGGATGTGGCTTCACATGTATATGCACATAACCATACTACACACATACACATACTACACACATACACATACTACACACACATACACATACTACTCACATGCATATGCACATAACCATACTACACACATACACATACTACACACATACACATACTACACACACATACACATACTACACACACATACACATACACATATACACACATACACATACTACACACACATACACATACTACACACATATACACACATACACATACTACATACATACACATACTACACACATACACATATACACATACTACACACATACACATACTACATACATACACACATACACATATACACATATACACATACTACACACATACACATACTACACACATACACATACTACATACATACACACATACACATATACACATATACACATACCACACACATACACATACTACACACATATACACACATACACATACTACACACATATACACACATACACATACTACACACATACACATATACACATACTACATACATACACATACTACACACATACACATATACACATACCACACACATACACATACTACACACATATACACACATACACATACTACACACATATACACACATACACATACTACACACATACACATACTACACACATACACATATACACATACTACACACATACACATACTACACACAAACACATACTACACACATATACACATATACACATACTACACACATACACATACTACACACATACACATATACACATATACACATACTACACACATATACATACTACACACATACACATACTACACACATATACACACATACACATACTACACACATATACACACATACACATACTACACACATACACATACTACACACATATACACACATACACATACTACATACATACACATACTACACACATACACATACTACACACATACACATACTACACACATACACATACTACACACATATACACACATACACATACTACATACATACAAATACTACATACATACACATACTACACACACATACACATATACACATACTACACACATACACATACTACACACATACACATACTACACACATATACACACATACACATACTACACACATACACATACTACATACATACACATACTACACACATACACATACTACACACATACACATACTACACACATACACATACTACACACATATACACACATACACATACTACACACATACACATACTACACACATACACATATACACATACTACACACATACACATACTACACACATACACATACTACACACATACACATATACACACATACACATATACACATACTACACACATACACATATACACATACTACACACATACACATACTACACACATACACATACTACACACATATACACATACTACAAACATACACATATACACACATACACATATACACATACTACACACATACACATATACACATACTACACACATACACATATACACACATACACATACTACACACATACACATATACACACATACACATATACACATACTACACACATACACATACTACACACATACACATACTACACACATACACATATACACATACTACACACATACACATACTACACACATACACATACTACACACATACACATATACACACATACACATATA